ATGTTCTATAATATGAGCTTCATGGAGTTCAAACTGTTTCCAGCTCATCTTTTGTCCTGAACTTGTTTCTGTTATTAACTTTATATTTATAATTTTCCTTTGGCCTCTTTGACTCTCAGCCTGATATCAGAACCAACCGAGTCCAAGTTCCTTCATCAGAATCTTTTCCCCACATTTTATTCAGAATTTTACTATTTCTGACCAAAGGGCTCATATTATAGAACATTTATACACTTTATAAATTTATACACTTTATAAATTTATACACTTTATAAATTTATACACTTTATAAATTTATACACATTTTCTTCTCGTCGTTCTGTCTTAAATACATTTCCTCATTTATAAATATCTCCTAAACTTTTCTCGTATATTTATTAATTTAAATGTTTCCTGTCTGGCTGCTCTACAATCTCTGCTGCTTTTCTAAAGAAAACATTTCATCTTATTATTGTATCTTAAAATGATTTGTTGGGTTTACAGATCCGTCTGGTGATAATCAGAGGAGCCATCTCTAAGTGCAGCTTGTTCTGATCAGATTTAGACTATTAATATTTCAGAGCCATGCTGATGTCAACATGGATCATTTTCTCAGTTACCAAAACAGGAGCAGAGATGTTATTATAACATCCTTAATAAAGTGATAATAAACATGTTTATCACCGGGTGCAGAGCAGCAATGCTTGTTTTCATCCTGTCATTCATCAGATGACAACATGACAGGCTGTTTTTCTCTGGCTGTTTTTCTCTGGTTGTTTTTCTCAGCTGATCTGAGCTGAACCTGGACAGGAAACGGAGGAGAGCAGCTGGTTAATGTTCCCACATCACTCAGCCGTTCACTTAATTTCAGCTGTTAAAACCAAACAGGACATTTTAAGCGTTGGGGATTAAATGTCACCCTGTCCCTGTGGAGTTTCTCCTCTTTGTTTCTCCTCATGTTTCAGTGAAGCAGACAGGAAACCTTCCAGCTCCTCTGATTTGCTGAAACCAAACAGGACAGCCTGTAGATAACTGAGTTTCCCGTTTCCCCTGAACGCCTCACGCTGTGTTTCTGCCCTCAGTGCCCTTTAAGCTGCAGGAAGGCGAGGTCCGCATCATCTCCATGGCGCAGTGCCAGTCCTACTTCGACATGAAGACCATAACTCCCAGGATGCTTTGCGCCGGCTACGAAGCAGGAACCGTGGACTCCTGCATGGTACCAGGTGCTGTCAGTGTGGTCAGTTCTGGGTCAGAACCGCCTGTAGAACCGGCTGTGTGTTTCAGGGCGACAGCGGCGGCCCGCTGGTGTGTGAGGAAGAGGAGGGTGAGGGCTGGACGCTCTTCGGCCTGACGTCCTGGGGCAGCGTCTGCTTCAGCAAGGTGCTGGGGCCCGGCGTCTACAGCAACGTGACCCACTTCACGGCCTGGATCCAGCAGCAGATCTACGTCCACAGCTTCCTGCCCGACTGACGCCGGCAGGAAGTGATGTCACTGACTGTGCCTGACCCACCAGAACCTCTGCATCCGCCCCACTGGACCTCCTCACACATGAACATTCATGTTTTCATTCCAACCAGATGGGTCCCACTTCTTTTATTTTCAAATTAAGAGCGTTTTCCCCGTTCAAAGCTGCGTTTGAGTCACAAAAACATCCTGAAGGTTTTTATTAATCATGTTTGTTGTGTTTCTGCTGCCGAAACATTTTGTTTCCAGGAAAAGTTTCAGTCAAAATCTTTATTTTTATAAATGTTTAAAGTCCAGCATCAACGTCTCTGTGGCGTTTAAACAGTAAATTATTTAAAACAAACTCAGAGGGAAAAGCCTCCATTTACACCTTGAGGATCTTTTAATCAAACTTTTTCTTTTGATATAGATTTAATAAGATTTTATTTCTGTTTAGATTAAAATGATGTTTCCAGAAAATATCAAGTGATCAGAAACGACTTCCTGTCTCCTCCAACTCGTGTTCCTGAAATTTTCTCCATTTCAGGTTGTTTGTTGAAACCTGACTGTAACTGAACAACATTAATCACTGAGGACTCAACTTCCCACAATGCTTCACTCTGCAGTGAGGCAACCAAAGCTCAACCATCCTGTTGATTAATAAAAATCAACAACATTTCTAACTTAAAAATTGTTTTGAAAATCATGTGAATATTTGATGATTTTAGCTAATTAAGCATCTTTACATAAACACAGAGACATTTAAACGGTTATGAATGAAACGACAGGCAGAAACATTGAAAATCTTCCTACACAATCATGTTAATATGGTTTATCTAAAATATTCATATTTTATCATATAACCAAGAGCAAAAAGACAGTAAAACCTGTTTATTAGTAACATAATATATAAGGAGAAATGTAAACAAATATTAATAAATTAGCTAATTATTGCAGTAAAATCATATTTTTCTGTATTTCATTTATAAATATATCACTAACATGAAAACGTTTCTCTGTGATGTGAAGCACAGATGTAGCACACTGACGCCATATTTCTGTTTTATATGAAGGCTAGCTCTGTTAGCGTAGCTCTGTTAGCACTAGCTGTGTTAGTACTAGCTCTGTTTGCACTAGCTCTGGTAGTGTTAGCTTTGTTAGCATTAGTTCTGTTAGCACTAGTTATGTTAGCATTAGCTCTGTCAGTGTAGCTCTGTTAGCATAGCTCTGTTAGCACTAACTCTGTTAGTGTTAGCTCTGTTAGCAGAGTTAGTGTTAACTCTGTTAGCACTAGTTCTGTTAGTGTTAGCTCTGTTAGCGTGGTTCTGTTAGCCCTAGCTCTGTTAGCATCAGTTCTGTTAGCAGTAGCTGTGTTAGCAGTAGCTGTGTTTGTGTAGCTTTGTTAAAACCAACAGATTGATTTTATTCATAATCATTAATTAAGGTTTAATGTGTTCACAAACAGAATAACTAAATGAAAATGAACACCATGTTTTATTTTATCTGAGCGTTAGCATTTAATGCAACTAGCTTGATGCTAATAATTTGTTTTAGCAATATAAATTGACTCATCTTTACATTTTCATTTAAAACATCTTCAGTCGTAAAGCCAGAAGTTGTAACAGTTTAAAACGGCACAATTTATTATTTTTGGCACAAATTAACCCAAATAAAGGAGATCAGTGTGTTTATCTGACTGACGATTAAAATAATCATTTTTAGTTACAAATACTTAAAGCAGTTAAAGGCATGTTTGCTGTAAACAGTTTGGTGATAAAATCAGACGTGAAAACAGCTGAACTGCTGCTGATGAAGTTTAGTTTTAGTTTGTTCTGGTAAATATTCATCGTTTTGCTGAATCCATGTTTTAGTTTCCAGACTTGTTAAAGTTTTGGGTTCTGGACTCGACTGGATGCTGAATGTTTCTGACCAACCAGAACAACCAGAACATTCCTCTGCTGTTTGGGTTTCTTCAGGTGTTTCCTACAGCTTTTTGTAAGTTGAGCTTCTCACAGGTCTGTGTGTGTGTGTGTGTGTGTGTGTGTGTGTGTGTGTGTGTGTGTGTGTGTGTGTGTGTGTGTGTGTGTGTGTGTGTGTTTTTCCGTGTGTGTGAGATCATCCAGTCACGCGTTCAGGTCGTGTTTTGCATCTTGTTTCAGCCCTGATCAGGTTGTTGCCATGACGACCAGGTGACCTGTGGTGTTTTGGTGAATATCTGCTTGTATTTTCTGTTTCTGGCTCTAATAAAAGTTTCCACACTCAGTGGGTTTGACTCACCGTCTGTCTGCACATCTTTCCACTTCCTCTCCACAGAGGAAGGAACCAGCAGCTTTTTATAGACGGGATCAGACGGAGGATGTGTCAGAAATATTATTCCTACTGACATAAACCATCATATAAACTCCATGGATCAGATATCAGCCCTGAGATCCTGTCGGTTTATTAAACTACAACAATCAGGAGTTTGTCTCCAGGTTTCATCTGAATGTTACACATTTTATTTCAATAAAGTTTAAATAATATATTTCCTCTGATGTATTTAAAATGTGTCAGAGGAGCCATGAGGACTGAGAACATGAGGGAGACGCAGGAAACACATCATCCTGATTCTGCTCCAAAACGTTTTGGTGCCTCAAGATGTTCTGACCTGCAGATGGAGCTCGTCCCTCCAGCTCTGACCTCTGACCTGCAGATGGAGCTCGTCCCTCCAGCTCTGACCTCTGACCTTCAGAGGGAGCTTGTCCCTCCAGCTCTGACCTCTGACCTGCAGAGGGAGCTCGTCCCTCCAGCTCTGACCTCTGACCTGCAGAGGGAGCTCGTCCCTCCAGCTCTGACCTCTGACCTGCAGCAGATGTTTGGTTTCCTGCAGGTTTCATCCTCTGGTCATTAATCTTGATCTCTGCTTCTGTGTCCAGGTTGTTCTCCTGATGGTCTGAGGTTCTGCTGGGTCAGCAGGTCCGTCTCTGATTCAGCCTTTATAATGACTTCAGTATTTCCGGGTCGATCCAGAACCACAGGGCAAGTGGTTGAATCAGGTCCAGAAACCGTTTCTGTCCACGGTTCTGATCTGTGTTGGTTCTTCTAGAACAGTCCAGACCCGGTCCAGGCGGATCGGTGCCTCATCCTGATCAAGCTCTGGGCGACTGTGGGCAGTAAGAACCAGGAGGAACCAGCTGACCCGGCCAGGTGGAGGAGGTTCTGGAGAACCTTACCGCTGGACCTGCGTTACGTCTGGTGCTGACCCAGACACGGAGCGGTTCTGCTGACGTCAGCAGCTCTGAGCTCAGCCAGGAAAACCTGCCATTATGGAGGCTGTTTGTCTGCAGGCGGCCATTAATACTGAGGACTGAGAAGTAACAAATACCAGGTGTGTTTGACAGGTGGCATTTAGAGAGAGCAGACACAACGGGCCGCAACCAGCTGCTGGCACACACACACACACACACACACATGCTATTCATACACACACACTGCTCATACACACACACACATGCTTTTCATACACACACACTGCTCATACACACACACACATGCTATTCATACACACACACTGCTCACACACACACACTCACATGCTTTTCATACACACACACTCGCACATGCTGCTCACGCACACATGCATGTGTTGCTATCTTTGTGGGGACTTTCCATTGACTTCCATTCATTTCTACAGCTATCCCTAACCAAAACTCAATTCATACCTTAGCCCTAACTCTGACCCCTGACCCAAAAACAGGGTTTCCCCTTGTGGGGACCAGGCTCCGGTCCCCACAAGGAGCAATTGGTCCCCACAACGTAGTGTCAGGTAAATCATCCCCACAAGGTATTACAAACAAACATGCGCACACACACACACACACACACACACACATGTTGTTAACACACACTCTTCCTCTCTCTCTTCCTCTCTCTCTTTCTCTCTTTTCCTCTCTCTCCCTCTCTCTCTTCCTCTCTCTCTCCCTCTCTCTGACTCAGTCTTCCTCTCGTCTCGCTTCCAGACGCATCAAACCAGCAAAGGTAAGAAAACAGAAAAACTCCTGAAATATTTAAATTATTATATAGAGGAAAATCAGGTAAATTTTAATCTGAATAAAACTCGACATTAATTCTGTTAAAACTCGACATTAATTCTGTTTCGCTGCTGAAATATGAAATTTAAAGGAAAATCAACAAATTAAAATCTAATTCAGCTTCATTTTATTTTTTTATTTTAATAAATACAAAATGAATCAAATTAGTTAGAATATCAACACAAAGTCACTTTTAAAACTTTGTAATTGGACATTTTTCATGCAATAACTGAGTTTTACACATTTATCTCATTTTTTGCTGGAGTTTTTGGTAAATTTATAAACTTTTTGCTCATAAAAACCATTTTTATTAAGTCGTGTTTGGCTCTGGTTCTGTTCTGACTTCAGATTAAATGGATCTTCTGGTTCTGAAATGTGATATTTTTATTCTGATCTTTAAAAACTTCCTGACCCGTTTCACTGAAAGGTCCAGAAGAACCTGGAGAATAAAGAACAAGAAAAACATTAAAATACAGAAATTAATTATTTAATACAAGAATTACATGATTAAACTTTATCAGAACATTTTGGACCTCAGGAACCGATCTACTCTCTACCGGGTCCAGTTTGGACTTTCACAGTCTGACAGGAACCAGGAACAAAAACCATTCAGAACCTTCAGAACCAGTCAGTCCAGTAAAACCCATCAGAACCAGGTTCTGGTTCATCCCGGCTGAGGTCCAAACTGCCTGCCTGTGTTTCAGATGATGGATGAAGAAGCTACGAAGCGCTACGTCCGGCCCACAGAGGACGGACCGCACCAGAACCCAGCTGAGGTAAAACCCGAATCCACCAGAACCCTGAAGCCCCGCCCACCACCGGAACCGGCTGTTGCCATGACAACAGCAGCTTCACTGCGTTCCTGGACCAGATTGGTCTGAACTGACAGTTAAAGTTTATGAAGTTAAAGCAACAAAAACTGAATTTATTCCTGATGCAAAAACATTTAATGAAAACATGAATCAGCTATGAAATGTTAAAATCAGGATAATAATTTTACCTGCTTCATTAGTTACATGTTTTTATTTGCATAAAGAAATAAAATATCAGGAAATCTTCACAGAGGCTCCCAGTTTGGATCCTGATGAGTTAAACTGGTCAAACTGGATTCAAACCAGTTAGTTTAACATCAGTGACTTTTTTCCAACTAAATGACGTCAGAAGGTCACAGCTGGTAGTTTGTCCACCAGGGGGCGCCTGCGTCTCATTTGACTTTATGAATAAAATGATCAATAATAACTGAATGTTGGGCATAAATAACAACTTAATGACCAATTAATAAATTATACAATAATAAATAAACAGGAATTATTTACATTTTTGTAAAAAAAGTTTGTTTCTCCACAGAAGTTTCATCAAAAGCAGCTTAAACAAAAACGATGAAATAAATTTGATATTTCAAAACACATCTGAATAAAATCACATGAATGAAGTAAAATGAGCTTTTAAAGCATCTAAAATAAACAGGGTGGATGAATCCAGGTTTATTAATCCATCAGTTCAGTCAGACATTAATAACAGATCCCAGAATCCCGAGCAGCGCTGACAGAGATCAGGCGGGATCTACAGATCACCAGATTCTGTCCTGAAGCTGCAGATTTCACCTGAAGGTCCATAAAACAGTTAAAGTTAAACTTAGTCAGCCGTCTGTGGATCTGCTTCAGGACGGGAGTCCAGGTCTGACCTGAGCAGAGAGATAAGAGGCTCAGCTGGCTGAGAGAAACGGACCGGAGAACCCAAACCGGGATGAAACCAGAAAACCAGAAAACCTAGAAAACCAGAACCTGTGAACCCAGAACACGACCAGCTCAAGTTCCTCCATGTCCCGCTTTCCTCTCAGCTCTTCAGTTTAACTGGTTCTACAGCCTGAAACCTCCTGCAGGTCCGGTTCTGGACCAGTTCAGAACCTGCTGGGTTCTGGAGAATCTCCATCATGTTTCACCACCAGAACCAGTTTTGGTTCTTCTTCAATCCTCCTGGACCAGGAAGGGACCGGCTGGCTGGGCTGAACCAGAACGGGACAAAGTCCAACTTTACTGGCACACACACACTCACTCACACACACACTCACTCACACACACACTCACACACACACACACAGACACTCACACACACACACACAGACACTCACACACACACACACACACAGACACACACACACTCACACACACACACACACACCCACACACACACAGACACACACACACACACACACAGACACTCACACACACGGACTCACGCTGACTGTCTGTGTGTCCAGAGTAAAGCTCAGGGTCACCAGGAGGAGAGAGAGATCAGCGTTCTGCCACGCAGGAGGACGGACGAGGACGAGGACAGGGTGAGACAGCTGGGGACGTTTAGAGGACATCTGGACTCCTTCGGTTCTGATAAGTTCAGATGATCCATGAAACCAGAATTTATTCTCCAGGAGTTTCTGCTTTTTCCATATGAATCTTCATTAGACATTGTTTTCATTTTTAGTATTGATACCAGGCTGATGATCAGGACCAGGACTGTGTCCTCTGGAGGACGGTCCTGACTGTGTCCTCTGGAGGACGGTCCTCACTGTGTCCTCTGGAGGACGGTCCTGACTGTGTCCTCTGGAGGACGGTCCTGACTGTGTCCTCAGGTGGGGACAGTCCTGACTGTGTCCTCAGGTGAGGACAGTCCTGACTGTGTCCTCAGGAGGACAGTCCTGACTGTGTCCTCTGGTGAGGACAGTCCTGACTGTGTCCTCAGGAGGACGGTCCAGGTTTCTACTGCAGTCCTTTGGGTTTTGTTTGCTCCCATGCTGGATGTGAAGTTCGGGTTGGACATGTTGGACATGTCTAAATGTCCAACATGTCTCCACTGCATCACTAAATGTTCTCAGATTTTCTGGTTTTACAGTCAAACTGTTTCTAAATTCAATGATTATTGATATTATAGATGATTATTGATGATTATAGATGATTATAGATTATTATTGATATTATTGATGATTATTGATGATTATTGATGATTATAGATGATTGTTGATGATTATAGATGATTATTGATGATTTATCTGAACGTTTTCTCTGCTGAACCTCCTTCAGGCTCAGATTCATTTTAATTTATTTCAGTTAAATTCAAGACAAAGTCCAGCTGGACGTCAGTCTGTTGTCTCTGTCCCGGTTTGTCCTCAGATGAGGACGTTGGACTTGTCTTCGTCCTGCTGTGTCAGACTGAAGGACAGATGTCCGCGACCAAACGGTTTCCTCAACCTGCTGCTAACCAAAGGTAAAAACACCTGGACAGTGAAACGGCTTCCAGCCGCACTAACCAGCACCGAACCACGACGTCACAATAATCAATTAATCAGCTGATTGATTAAAATCAGGTTGATCATTCTGATCAGCTTCATGATCCAGTTCATTTATGGTTTCTGTTTTTATTTCTGTTTCTTTTTTTATTTTCTATAGTTAAAATATCTTCTAGTTTCAAGTTAAAAAGTTTTTTACAAAGTTAAAGAGAGAAAACTGAATGATTATCATTATGTTACCTAAAAATCAATAATATTATCGTTTATCACAGATAATCGGATCATTGATCATCCAGTAAAAAACCTTCAGGTTGTTAAAACTCATATTTTACTGTTTCTGTCAGAGTTGATCAAACTTCAACACTCTAACGGTGCTGATTTAACCAGTTTGGGTTTTACTTCCTTCTGTTTCTGCCGTTTCATTTCCTGACAGTTTGTCTGTTTGAGCTGCTACAGAAACTTGATGAATTATTTTACTGTTGTAGACAAAACAAACGGCAGAGCCTCATTTTCATTCTCTCCACTGCAGAAACATTAAACCTCCAATGAAACGATCCACAGTTCAGCTTTAAATCTGTTATTTAAAATAATTATCGTTTTCAGGATTTGATGATTTTCTGGTTTAAATAAAATCCTCCTGATGAAGCTTCTTCATCTGCTCAGTTTTAAACCTTTTTGTGTTTTTGAAGGTTTGAATTAAACTGAAAACAGATGAAAAATAAAGTTTAATTCAGACATCAGTGAGTTCTGGTTCCGTTACATTTCATTTATTGGACTTGTTTATAATCTGTTCATTTTCCTCCATGATGATAAATATTATCATTTAAATGGGATTATAGTTTATCTGAAAGATAAATTGTTTCAATTTTCTGCAGAATGTTTCATATTTGCTCTTGTTGCAGTTATTATATATTTGTCTAAAATAAGTTACTTATGTTATAACATTATGTTATAACATAATGTTATAACATTATGTTATAACATTATGTTATAACATAATGTTATAAATATGGCTGCTTCTGCTGTTAATCAGTAATAATTTGGGTTAAACATGTCAGCCGATCCTCCTGCTGCCTCGGTTCTGACCGTGTCGGGTCTCTGCCGCAGCGTTCCTGCTGGTTCTGCTGTTCGGAACCGTCTGGTCCATAACGGGTCAGGAGTGTCTTCCTGGAGGGAACCTGTTTGGGATCGTCATCCTGTTCATCTGCTCCGTTCTGGGAGGGAAGCTGCTGGGTCTGATCCACCTGCCGACGCTGCCCCCCTTCCCTCCACTGCTGGGTGAGCCCACCGCTCCCCGGTTCTGGCCCAGACCGGTCCCACTGGGCCGGCGGCGCCGTCCTGACTGTGTGTGCTTGCAGGAATGCTGCTGGCCGGCCTGCTGCTGCGTAACGTCCCGTACGTCGGCGCCGCCGTCTTCATCAGCCCCCACTGGTCTGCGGCGCTGAGGAACGTGGCCCTGTCCGTCATCCTGACCAGAGCCGGCCTGGGCCTCGACCCATCGGTACCGCCATCAGAACCGCCCTGACCCGACTCCGCTCAGCCCGGGTCGCCCTCAGCTGTCAGTGTGTGTGTCCCTGCAGGCGCTGCGCCGCCTCAAAGCGGTGTGTGTGCGTGTGGCGGTGGGGCCCTGCGTGCTGGAGGCCTGCGTCGTCGCCGTGGTTTCTCACTTCCTGCTCGGCCTGCCCTGGATCTGGGGCTTCATCCTGGGGTGACACACACACACACACACACACACACAGATCTGCAGCTCTGAACCGCTGTGTGTTTTGCAGCTTCGTTCTGGCCGCCGTGTCTCCGGCCGTCGTTGTTCCTTCGATGCTGCTGCTGCAGAGGGAAGGATACGGAGTGGAGAAGGTAACGGCCCGGTTCTGAACACATGGACCCGACCAGAACACGTCCAACTAATCAGCGTCACAAACACCGTTGGTTCCTCTTTAGTGGTGGAACTCCCTCTGGTTCCTGATCCCAAACAAACAGCCGGGTCCAAACTTCCTCTCCAACAGCTTCAGTCTCCCTGAAGGTGAATCCTCCTCCATGGCAGGAAGGACTCTGGACTCTGGCTGCTGTCATGAAATGACCAGAAACCTTTCGGACCAAACGTCTTCTGCTGCTGGTGAACCAGCCGATCCCTCAGGTTTGGGTTGGTGCTTCTCACCTGGACCCGCCTGCAGCAGGTAAACACTGCGGTCAGGTGACGGCCCAGCAGACACATCCAGAAGGTTCTGGACTGGCAGCAGGGATGAACTGGACCCAGAGCTGTGGATGGACGATCCGATGGGGAACCAGGAGAAGCTGAAGCCAGCAGGTCCGGTTCCTATGCGGTGCTGAGATTCTGTCTCCTTCCAGGGAATCCCGACGCTGCTGATGGCTGCTGGCAGCTTTGATGACATCCTGGCCATCACCGGATTCTCCACCTGCCTGGGAATCGCCTTTTCCACGGGTCAGACCCGTTTCCTGTAGCGTTCTGCTCGGTTCTGCTGTTTTCTGAACCCGTCTGTTGTTCAGGCTCCACCTGGATGAACATCCTCAAAGGTCTGCTGGAGGTGGTGGGTGGAGTCGCAGCCGGGCTGATCCTGGGTCTGCTGCTGTGCCTCTTCCCCAGCAGTGACCAGGTCCGTCCTCAGAACCGACCCGTTACAGATGATGAGACCGTGAAGGCTGAGAGGCTGTCTGTGTCCCTGCAGGAGGACCTGGTGCTCCGGAGGACGCTCCTCCTGGTGGGCCTCTCCGTGTTCTCCGTCTTCTTCAGCCATGTTGTTGGCTTCGCCGGAGCCGGCGGCCTCTGTACGCTGGTGCTCTCCTTCCTGGCTGCTCTGGGCTGGAAAACCGACAAGGTGACCAACATCCAGGATGCTAAGCTCCGCTAATCCGCTAATTACAAAGCTAATGTTTTGTTTTTTCAGCTTTTCCTAAATAAATTTAACCAGATAAATTTAAAAGCCATCATTTACGTGGCTGTTTTGTAAACTTTTAGTTGTTCAGTTTTGATTATCAGCTGTTTTATTTATGCTCTTATTTTGAAGGGGGTGAAGAGCGTTGTCTACCCAGAATGCACAGCTGCAGTAAACAGTCTCTGATGTTTCTGACAGAAGCCTTATCATAGTCAGTTAGCATAAATCAGCAGCAGACACAATTATTCACATCAGTCATAAAACCAGGAGGGAAAGAAGCTCAAACTGGATGGAAAATGTCGCCCTGTAGGGGGCGCTATGTTGTAACATGTTGTGTCATTGGGATGCCATGATGGTGAAAGTTAGCTTTTTAGCATTAGCTATTGCTAAATACTGTGCTGGTATGGCGCTTTAGAAATGGGTTTAGGGTTAGTGCAGCTAGCTCTGTAGTTAGCGGTTCCTACCTCTGAATACTGGCGTCACCTTGTGACCTTTAACCCGGCTAAGGAGTCTGTTCATCCTGGAGCTAAAGGTAGCGCATCTCCACCTCCTGAAGCTCCACAGGAGGAAAAAAGGAAGTAAAACTGTTGGGAAAAGATAAAACAGAACATCAAACTTTCCCAGTGTACCCAGTCACCTCCACCCAGTCACTCAGCTCCACCCACTCAGCTCCACTCACCCACTCAGCTCCGCCCACTCAGCTCCACCCA